AACAGCAAAAAAGGCGAAAGGGCTGGAAGAACTGCAGTAAAAATACAACTTTGCGCCTAGCTATCTGAAATGAAACAGAACTTCATATTGAGATAACTTCGCTGGTACGGAAAATTAAGGAGGAAATGACGGCCAGAAGTCGAGGTGGAAGTTTGTCGTAACGCTAATTATATGAAAGAAGGAGCGATCTTTATTTACACATGATTGACCAATTATACGTGTAGAATTCGGTAGACTTGCAACACTGTATCTTGCGGCGAGACAAGTTGGTCACAAACTTGGTAATTCGCGGAACAGAGGGTTTCTACTTGCAATGCAGCAATGTTGCGAGACAAGTTGAAGAAAAATGTTGCCCGCATTACCGGACCTTAACGTCCTTTTTCTTGTTCAGACCTTAAACGTCAGTGCTCATGATGTTATTGAAGAGATTTGCTGGAAAATAGTGGAATTACTCACCAGCGACCAAACAACAGCTTTTGAAGAAAACGAGAGGAAAACTGGAGTAAGTGAATATTATAACTGCTTCCATGCGTAAATCAGTCCGGTAAATAACAGTATTTAAAAAGACGGAAAGAAAGAAAGTACAACCTAAATATAAAGAAAACGGGTCTGGAGTAAACGAGAATTACCACAATACGACAAACATAGAAATGGAAGGACAACAAACCCTGCAAAAACTGCAAAATGAAATTGCACGAGTGCCTAAAACACTCAGTGAGGAAATATTTTGGCGCAACATGAGAGAGCAGGACGAGCAGGAATTAAAAGAAAAGGAAACAATTGTAGAGGAACTGCAGAAAACGTTAGACCAAGAGAACGTGAAAGAATGAGATTGGGAGAGGAATCAGTGGTTGTGAAGACTGCCTGTAAGGACCTAGAAGAAAGACTAAATAAACTGCTTGCGCAAATGCGTCAAGTGATCAGTAACAAAATGCTCCTGTCGGTTGCAAATAAAGGGAGTGGATTAATAGAAAATGAACCAGTTCTGGACGAATTAAAGAAAACGATAGAATAAGAAAAGCAAGCAAGAAGAAGAGTTGAAGAGGAATTAAACCGAACGAAGCTTAAATGTAAAGAGGTGGTAGAGAGATTAGCAATTGAACTTGCAAAGATGCAACAAGCGCTGCAAAACGAAATAGGATTGCGCAGCACTAGGGAGCAAGAATTAAGAGAAAGGAGAACGATCGTAGACGAACTACGGAAAGAATTAAGCGAAGAGCATCGGACAAGAAATAGAGCTGAAGAGGAATTAAACCAAACGAAGATTACATGTAATGAGCTGGAAGGGAGATTAGTAACTGAACTTGCAAAGATGCAACGAACGCTGGAAAACGAAATAAAATTGCGCAGTACGTGGGAGCACGAATTAAGCGAAAAGAAGACGTTTCTAGAAGAACTACGGAAAGAATTAGGCGAAGAGAAGCTAACAAGAGGTACCGTGGAAGAGGAATTAAGCCAAGCAAGAAATGACTGTATTAGGTTAGAAAGAATATTGGAAAATGAACGTGACCAGATGCAAAGAACATTGGGGAACGAAATATGTTTGCGCAGAAAAACAGAGCAACAGCTACAGGAAAAAGAGACGAATGCAGTAATACTGGGAAATAAGTTAGGCGAGGAGCAGCTAAGAAGAACTAGATTGGAAGAGGAATTAATCCAAGCGAGGACTGAACTTACCGAAGAGAAAGAAAGATTGGAAAAGGAACTTGCGGAGAAGGAAAGAATTCTAAATATCGAAAAGCGTCTGCACGACACGCAAAAGAGGCAAGTACAAGAAAGATTATCGGAAGCAGAAAGATCGAGATTGATAATAGAAGAGGAATTGAGCCAGGTGAGCTCTTCTCGTGACTAGCTGGCAGAGAGAATGGAAAATGAACTTGAGCAGATTCGTCAAAGGCTTGATAACGAAATATCTTTACGAAACACGACTGAGCAGGAGCCCAGGGAGAAAGAAACTATTATAAACGAACAAAGGACAACGGCAGAAACACAGGGGCAGACATTTGAAGAAGAATTAAATCTCAGGACAGGTCAGATTGAAAGCAAAGAGACCGCTCTAAGAGATCTGCGGCGTTTGTTGGTAGAGGAGCGTCAGCAAAAGACAGACTTGGAAGAAAGACTAAGGAACTTGCAACTTGAAATGGAGGAAGAACGGGACAGACGCGCTTCCACCGAAAGAGAATTGAACACAGCTACCGAGCGCCAGACTCATCAAACACGTGACTGGATCATCCAGCGGAAAGAAGTCGTTTTGAGCGGAAAAGTTTTAGGCAAAGGGGCCTGGGGCGAGGTACTTGAGGGTTCATTTCGTAGTTGCCAAGTTGCTGTCAAGAAAATTCATGATATGATTCTCTCTGATCATAATCGGAAATTGTTTGAACGAGAAATGACAATCGCATCGTGTTGTCGCCACCCAAATCTTTTGCAGTTTATCGGCGCCACTAACGACGACGGCCATCTTTTGTTTGTCACTGAACTACTGGAAATAAGTTTACGGCGCTTGTTGTCTCAGCGAGCATTAAATGACGAGGAGATTGTCAGCCTCTCCATGAATGTCGCCAAAGGATTAAATTACCTTCACCTTAATAGGCCGCATCCCATAATACATCGAGACATCAGCAGCGCCAACGTGTTGTTATGGAGACGAGATGAGTGTTGAAGAGCCTGACTGACTATGGTCGGCGAATTTCATGCGTCAATGCATGACTGAAAACCCAGGGGCAAGGATCTATTCTGCTCCAGAGGCCCTCACTTCTCAACAGTCACCATAGGTAATGAAAAAGTGGATAACGCTATTCGCCGGATAAATTACTACCCAGCGGATAGAATGGTTTCTTTTGTTAACACCTATCCATTGGATAGTGATTTATCTGCTGGATATCGTTATCCAGCCTTCGAACAACCTCGGCTAGGAAGAGTAAGGGAAGTTGTTTCGATAGCTATGGGGTTTGTGATAATGTTACGTTAGTTGTGAAGACATGCATGTGATCGATGTGCGATTATGAATCTGCGAATTTTATAAGTCAGTTTACCACTTTGAATCCAGTTGAAAGGATTTATTCTGCACCCAAAACACTCACTTCAAATGCTCAACAGTCAACGCGGGTAATAAAGGAGTTTCTTGTTGTCAACGTCAAGGAAACTAGGTACCGTAACATGAATCTGGAAAAGGTTTTTTGGGCTTTGTGTATTGTGGGCTAAAACGCCAATGAATGTCATAACCTTAGTGTAGGCGAAATTTAATAGTAGATTGCATATCAATACTCCTGTTTAAGTTATCGTTCTCTACGATGCGAGAAAATAAGCAAAAAGTAGAATCCAGCGTAGATGTTGCATGAATTTTCAGAAATATAATGCCAAGGTTTCTTTTCATTTCATTGTTTTAGACCCAATAATGTGGTTACTAC